ATCTCTACAAAGCTAATTGAACAAATCATTCTAATGAGACTAATCAGTGCTTTAGATCACATTCATACACCAATGGGACACACATCAGAGGCTATGAGGGGTTCAGTGTCTTGCCCAGGGACACTTCGGCATGTGACTGCTGGTGGATTCGAACCCCCAACTCTTGCATTGGAGGACGACTGCTCTAACCACTCAGCCACAGCCGCCCCACGCAGTAGAAATTCAGCATACCTGATCTTGTCTCTTGCCACGGCTCCTTGCCTGTTTTTGACTCCTCCCCTTGCCTGAACCCTCTTGGATTTTGTCTGCCTATCTGCCCATGGTTTCTGACTCTGTGCCTTCCCCGTTTGACCACGTCTTTTGGATCACGACTCGGCCCTGTTCTCGCTTCTCTTTTTCTATGGTTTTTGACCCTGCAATGACTCAATGACCACGATTCTGGATTTCCCTGTTCTGGACCTCAAATCCTTTAATCTGCTCCACTGCAGCAACCTGCTCTACTGGAGGGACATCACCGACTGCAGTGTGACTACAGACTCTGCAAGATCAAGACAGAAGGTTAGTGCAGACACCAACATTCACCTGCACATCCAAAACTTAGTCAAAGCCACTAACTCTTCTGTCTTGACAGATTAGACCCAGCCCAGGATCCAGACCTCCACCAGAGTGTTTCCTGTTCACAATAAAATAGTTAAACTGCTCTTGGGCTTCTTGTTGTTGCTGATCCAAAACCCAGATCTTGTCAGTTTTAACTACTATTCAGCTGTTTTTGGCAAATTTCAGCGTTTCTCGGATAATTTAAACTTTATTGTGCTAATTTATGTCTTTTTCAGCCTTAGTGGTTACAATTAAGCTCCCTTCTACATTTCTTTAGCTACTATTCAGCTGTTTTATAGAAAAACTATGATCACTTTGCCATTTTTATAGCTATTCAGCTGAAATTTGGCATATTGGTAGATGACAATCTCTAATAGACTAACTGAAAATTAAAAATCTAAGATGGCCGCCTTAACAAAAAGGAAACATATTATAAATCAGCCAATTTTAATCATATTGAGCTGAATGTTGGTGTTATAAAAACTGGCAATGTTTCCCATCAAATGTTGAATGAAAATCAAAAATCCAAGATGGCCAACAACACTACTTTTGAATGGATTTAATTTGGCCATTTTTACACACAGAGCTGAAATTTGAGATTATAGCTGAGAACATTCCTTATCACATACAGCATCCAAATCAAAAATCCAAGATGGCCGCCTTCGCAAAAAAGGAAAAATACTATAAATCAGCCAATTTTAGTAATATTGAACTGAAAGTTGGTGTGGTGTTAGCTGAAAATGTTTACAATAAAATGCTGCATGAAAATCAAAAATCTAAGAAAGCCACCAACACTACTTTTGAATGGATTTAACTCAGCCATTTTTACACATACAGAGCTGAAATTTGGTGAGGTTATAGCTGAGAATGTTCCCTATTACATATTGCATCCAAATAAAAAATCCAAGATGTCCGCCTTTGCTAAAAAAGAAAAAATATGATAACTCGGGCATTTTTAGAGCTATTCAGCTGAAATTTGGTATAGCTGTAGCTGAGAGCAAACCCAAACACATAGTACTGTTAGATCAGCAGTTTATATCAGTAGCAGCCTGGCAGTCCATTACATTAGGAACAACTGCACATTCTGCTTCCTTCTGATATTTGAAGCTTCTTTCTGCTGTTTTATGCTGCTTTTCAACTGTTTTCTTGACATTCTTAGGCCCTATTTATACGGACACGATGGGGGAAACGTAGGTTTTTTCGTATGTTAATTAGAGAAAAAGATTTGCGTTGACATGGTCGGATTTTGTGTTTACATGCATCCGGAGGAATTCCCCCCCCCCCCGCCGCCCTCCCGAATCCGCTGTAGTTACCATGCCAGGTCATTAGATGGTGCTGTGAATTTTGTACCTTCAACTAATGCGCATGCATGCTGCCTCAGCACGCTCCTTTCCTCTGGGCTAAAAGTTCAGCTAACAACAACTTAAGAACAAGTTAAAGCTGGATTTTGGCTGGATTATGGATAAGAGTCAACAGATTTGACGCCAAGCGGGACCGCTTCGTCTAACAGCTCCACAGCGGTCGCTGAGTGGACCAGAACCAAGTCGACGATGTCGGACTTTACTCCGTGATAATCAGTAGCTGATTTACAGCAGATAAATCAATGTTCTTAATAATGTTAGCTTGTGTTTAATTCGATCACACAACAACCGAGTTTTTATTTTTATTTGTCCTGAAAGAAGAAGAAGCTGTCCTTCCACCAGGCAAACTGGTTCTGAACGAAGCTCGGCCCAGGTGGAGTGCAGGAGGACATCGAAGAGAGAGATGTTGGATGAACTATTTATTTAAAATTCACCTCAGCTCTTTTATTCAATCCATTAAATGTTTTGAGCTGCATTAATCAAAGCAGTGACAGCCTGAATGAGGCAGATGAACAACGTGGGACCAGATTCCAGGAAGAAAACAGAGCAGAGTCCAGTTCATTAATGTAGTTTACAGTTAACTTGTTTTTAAGTGTATTCAGTTTAATTATCAGTTTGTGTGACATACAGTTTGTGGTATTGAATAAATAAATAAAAATGAAACCTGATCTCTTCATTTTCAACTTTAATAACATGCAATATGTTTAGCATCATTTTAAATTTGAATTACATAATGTCCAGATAGCTTCATTTAGCTCAGAGCTTCATTATATCTTGCACACTAACATAAATACTGTTTATTATTATTAAACATATAATTTAGCATATTTAGTATATTACAGTGCAGCGTGACGTGTGCACGTGCCTCGTTTTAAAAACAGCGACATTAGAACTGGATCCGACTGTGTCTCTTCCAACACAGATGTCGGTCACAGCACCTGGTATCTGACGTAGATTAACTATAACATAAAAAATATATTCCATTAGTCGTAGTTCAGAAAGCACCGTATCCGCCGCCATGTTGATAGAAATATAGTGTCTGTCCGTGCATGTGGTTTAACACAAAGCCTCAGAGGGAGATGTTTACATTATCAGTGGGAGGTCAGTGAAAAACATCCACTTTAGAAGGTGGGTTCAGAAACCTCCAGATTCAAAGAGGGGGGCCACTGGTGTCGTGTAAATGAACAGCAGAACCGCAGAGAGAAAGCTGCGCATTCACTCAAAATATGCGCTGTGTAAACAGCCCCTTAAGCAAGAAGCATTCACACTTGCATTTTCGCAGGAAATGCAAATTCTCCAACTCTATTTTTTGTCTTTTTATTAAAGAATTAAGCAACAAAAGTCATATAATTTTCATCAACAAGTTTACATTAGAGGTCAATAAATCAGATTGCACCCTGCTCTAAATGGTGTTCACAGTTTAATTTTCGCAAATTAATGTAACCGTTTCATGCAAAACAATAAATACATTCCTGAGATTCACATTTAATATAATAGTAGTATATTGTTTTTTTATGTATTTAATATGTTGTTAGGCACACTTTGTCATAAAAATGACCAAAATAGACAAATGAAAGCAGCAAGTACTGCAACTTTTAGAACAGAAAGTTTCCGGTTTCTGTACAAATCACTATGCTTTAATAGCTTGCCTTCTGGCTTTCCATTAGTTTCTCATCCTGAAGGCTTGATTCATTGACCCAGGCTAAAAATGTTCCTTCTCTTTCTTGTTTTTCAGATGTTAAAAAAAAAAAAAAAAAAATTGCTAATCATTTATGCTTACTGCAAGATGAGCAACAGTTAACCGCAGGGGAAAAAAATACTTTTGTCTACTGTTTTGAGCAAATATTTCAAACAAGACCATAAGCGTCTAAAAATGAACCCTTAATTCAAAGCAAGTATGAAAATGGATAAATGGATGGAGGGAATGAGGGAAAAACATATTTTCTTGTAATCATCCTAAAATTGATAGAAACACTAAAAAGTCTTGCTGGAAGTCAAGTTAAAAGCATTTTTTTTACAAGCAAGTGTGTTGCTCAAGAAAACTAAACTGTATTTTTTAAAAATGCAAGCTGTCATTCTGTCAGAAAACCGAGCCAATAGGCCACAGCTGTAATTTACTGAGGGCTCCCCTCTATTTTGAACAGCATGTAATAACATAAACTAACCACACGATGGCAGAATTTGCACTGAAAAATGATAAACACGCTCATAACAATATTAATACTGGTGGGTTATAAACAAGACGTGATCCAACCATTGCTTCAGACCCACAGGTTAAAAAAAACACTTTGTACTCACATTTTCAATGACAAATGTCCATTCTTTGTCCTCAAACTCCTCTGCATGGGGATCCTGCAAGGGCAGAAATTTATAAATCAAAAACACATTTTAATTTTTTAATTTTAATTTTAATCAGACATTCAGTACATAAAAATAACGTTTGTTTCCTGCTCTACTGTGTTTGGGTATATTTTCTGTTATTGTTACTACTTTACAATCTCATAAAATAAACATAAAAAAAGACATTGATAAGTGACAAGCAATCTGCTTAGTGCTCTTTTCACCAACTGACCTGTTTTGTCTCATTAAAATACTGTACTTCTGTAGATTTTCCTATTCTTCTGTGAATCTGATCCAAGTCACAATGTGTAGATGCTCAATATCATGATGTTTCTAATGTCCTGACATTTTACATTGCAGTGACTGAAAAGAACAAAGTGAATAGAAGAACAGCAAGCACCCATGTCTTGTACTGCTGTGGCCTTCAGCAGCCGACTGTACACAGTCATAAAGCACAACAAAAAATAAAATAATGGATTAATTAAATGGACACGAGTTAATGAGTTTGATTGTCCTGCAAAAAAGTTTAGATAGGCAGCAATTGTGGTTTTCCTAGCAAAACATTTAACTGAATTTCATTTTCAGATTGCACCAATAACTTTTTGCTTTTACAGATAAAATAATTGATGAATAAAGACAAGAGGCTTGTTGCAGACCCATACCAGGAGCAGCTGTGGCTGAGTGGTTAGAGCAGATAAAATAATTGATGATGAATCAGTGTGCTTGAAACACACCCAGTGCAACTTGATAGAACAAACACAAAAACCCTCAGGAAATTCCTCGGCTTTCAAAATCCCACTAAACTCCATCATTTTACACTGACTTTAAAAGCCAGAATAGTGTTGCTTTACTTGCAATCTTTGTTACATAGCCATTCATTTGTTCATTCATTTATTCATTTTTTCATTCATCAGTCTGTTTCTGGCTTTATTAAAAAGTTTTGAAACAAAAAAATTGCATAGGTGACTCCAAAAAAAGGTTAAAAAATAAAAACCACTGCGTAGTGAAACATCCATCCACTATCTTTTACCCGCTTCTTCCATTTTGGGTCACGGGGGTCGCCGGTGCACATGTCCAGCAATCACTGTGCGAGGGGCGGGGTACACCCTGGACAGGTCGCAGGTCCATCACAGTGCCACATAGAGACAAACAGCCATTCACTCTCTCACTCACACCTAGGGACAATTCAGAGTTACCATTCAGCCTAACATGCGTGTTTTTGGTCTGTGGGAAGAAACCGGAGTACACGGAGAAAACCCACACATGCACGGAAAGAACATGCAAACTCCACCCAGAAAGGCCCCCAGACCGGGATTTGAACCAGGGACCTCCTCGCTGAGAGGAAGCAGCTCTATCAGTTGAGCCCCCGTGCTGCCCACCCCTAAAGTCATTGTGATAATTGTGTGACTGTCACATTAATTTCATTATCTTAGCTATAGGAGTAAGTTTAAAAACAGGATGATGCCTATGTGGACTAGTTGAACGAGGTGTCTGAAATATCCTGATGCATGCTCAATAATTTCAGCATTTTTTAAAAATCTGTCCAGAGGACCTGACTTTATTTTGTTAGACGTCTCTAAAATAATTATTGAATCAAGTGTTTATTATGTAGGTAAATGTAGATGTTAAAAAAAAACTCATTAAAATACACCAGAATGCAGGAAATGGTATCTAATTTATTCAAAATGTTTTGCATAAAAGTCTTGTCCTTAAAAGTCTTGTCCTGGCCAGGCCAAAACATTTCAGAAATGACACAAAGTTTGTTTTCTCAGTCATCCAAGTATAAAACAACAAAAAAGGTTGAATCATGTCATCTGGACTTCGTTTTTTT